GCACTCGACACGCACGATCTCCGCAGAGGGTTGCGCGCACACCGGACAAATCGCACTCTCGCCTGCATTTCGTGCGCTCGACACGCACGATCTCCGCAGAGGGTTGCATTTTCGGTTGACGCTGTTCGTCCCACCCTCCGCCTTTAAAGAGAATTTATATATAGAAATGTTTTTCATTAGGACATCTCCCGTGAAAGTTTTCAATACTCACACTTGCATACTTGCACTTGGATACTTACACTTGCATACTTGCACTGGGATACTTACACTTGCATACTTGCACTTGGATACTTACACTTGCATACTTTCACTTGGATGGTTTCACTCTTACACTTACACTGGGATACTCACACTTACAAACTTGGATACTTCTGTGCCATTGTGCGTATAGAAGTGTAAGTGTTCAAGTGTAAGTGCAGAAGCGTAAGTGTTCAAGTGTAAGTGTAGAAGTGTCAGTGTTCAAGTGTAAGTGTAGAAGTGTCAGTGTTCAAGAGATTTTCCGGAAGAACCCTTCGCAATGCTTTCGGGAAAAAAGATCCATAGTAGGAAGGAACCGCTCCAGCGTTCGTGTGATCCTGTCGCCATACACTTGGCTTCATACCAGAATGAGACCATTCATGCTCTCAGAGTCATACAGTATGGTCTTCAAACCGTCAAACAAAACTATATGAAGCTATTTTAATATACCTCTAAGAAAGTCTATTTAAACCTCAAAGTTAATTACATCCATAGTAAAACGATGTAAAACTACATACTTTTGGTCTGTATTGTCCTTCTAGGTGTCCTCTTGACCCATGCCAGTTTTAGCGCAGCTTGATGTTAACCGCTTCCAAGGTCCACCACGTGTTCGCCACGCCACTCACCACGCGACAGCGTTTCGTCTCGCTCGGTGGGGCGAACTCGTCCGATCCGTTCCGCGACTCGACCGTTTGGGGTTCATTGGGCCAACGGTTCCACCTTGAAACAAGTAAACAGCCACTTCAGCCATCTCAAAACGTGCTCTTTCACGGATGAAACGGAGCATCAAGAAGAGCTGAAGCTGTGTGAAGTGTCGAAGAATTGGCATGAGCATACTTTCGAACGTTCTCTATTTAAAGTTATCTTTGATCATTGTGAGGCAGGCCGTGTACTTTCCTACAGCCTATGCTGAGACACAGTGATTTCTGACTTGGATTCTCATGTTTCTCACAGTACGGGTGTCGACCTTGGTGCAGCTCAGAAACAACTCCTTCATATCACGCTCATACTCCTGACACGGCAGCCAAGTGCTTTTCGAATCGGCGTCAAAATCCCCTGGTGGGATCAAACATGCAGCCCGCGCAGCTTGGGTACAAGAGTCTGAAAAAATGGAATCGGTCGCAGTAAGTACCGGACACAGGACACAAGCTGTCCTCAGGAGAAGGGTTTGGAGTGATGGCTATCCTGGCGATCTGTCAACCCCGCGAAGACTCGCGAACTGTGTTTGAAAGAAAGGATCGTTCGTTTGCTCAAAACAAAAGGGAAACACGGGTGGTGTCACAAAACAACTGATCACCAGAGGCCATGAGTCAAGCCACCGACCGGATCAACCACACATCCTATAAACAGCTCAGCTCCACACACAGTGTGATGAAGTGTCTGTCAGTCAACACCAGCTATCCAAGAAGCAAATGGAATCACCTGAAACAACAGGACCTAGGATGAAACAGGACATACGTGATGAATGTTTGCCTACAAAGCGTCCTGACAAAGACTTGCCAGGCTCGCACTTGTGCCACAATGATCATAAACTCCTCGAAATCCAAGTCGCCACTGCCATCGGAATCCGCCTGCATGATGAGCGTTTGGAAAAATCAGCCTGCATTTCGCCAATGTGAGATCTGAAGGCGATTCGGTGCAAACCCCGCCAAGTTCCGTCAAGGTCAGAGGCTCTCTTTTCGCTGAGAATCTGAAGCTCACAGCCAAGAGTCCCTGCCAAGCGCCATGCAGTCCTTGCATTTGCTGAGGTGAGGTACACAACGTGCACCCTGCAAAGGCGCGAACCGTGATTGAACATGGGATGACGCACCAAGATTGAATTGAATGAGCACCAATCAATTTCCCTGCAACATCACGCGCACCTCCTAATTACGATAGTCATGACTTCTCCATAGCGACATACTCCACGCCACTATCGTAGCGAGCCGTGAGCGGATGGACGTGCCCACCGCTGTGGGCGGAGTTCGGCCTTGACCGAACATGAAAGCCCGACATGCTGAAGAGCAGCTGATGTGGCACCAAGCCGCTTCGGAGTTCGTCAAGTCCGAACTATTTCACTAGGTGACTAGGCCCGCGTTTGCAGCTGGCTGCGCCATCACTCCAGGTATCGACAGACGCAAAGCCCTAGCAAGATGGCTGAGCAACATCTGCTAAGCTACCATCAAGTCCAGCATGGCAAGCTACGGCGACGGAAGGCACTGACGGGGGGTACCACCTGAGCATGACACCTTGACACCTGAGCCCTGCAGGTTGTTGATTGATGTTGATTGTGACACCCGACTCGTCGGGTGATGTTCTTGTACTTTCGGCACCAATTTTCTAGTGGCTGTTTCGGCATTTTACAGAAAGCCTCAGGTCGAGGGTGTAGAGTCAACGGCTTGCGCTGCATGAATGCTTTCCTTTCTCGCAACACCAGTATGGACCAGTGATGTTCTTATATGCCGAGCCCATGTCGCTTATCATCTGTTGAAAAGGTACTCCGCCGGTTTGAGGAACTGTCAAGTCGTAGCTCCTGAAACGTCCTTGAATTATCTTGAATTCCTGGACAACCCTCCAGTCACGTTTTCTTCAACTGTATATTTCAAACTGTTGACTGGCAAATTACACAATGGGAATGGCAACTTCATTTCCTGGCTTCGTCTTTGGGTGTACCGTACAAAAGCAATGCCCTCCAATGCACATCATCACACAAGTGTGACTTGCTTTGCTTTAAAGAAATCCCAGTGACGATCGAAGATATGCTGCATGAAACATCATGTCATGCGTCGGATTAAGCATAACCAGTTCCTTTGAGGGGCGAGTGTGCCAGGTGCCTGTTTGATGATCGCTTGCAAATCAGCCTGCCAGGACATGAACACGATCATGAACATATGTTACCACACCGCAATTTGTGTGCAAGTCCATTTCCGTTCCAAGCTCCTTGTCGTTTGCGTGAGATGAAATATTGAACATAAGTGAAAAACAATGGACTTGGGACTGCTCTGGATGAACAATAAATTTTGCAACTTCATTGAACATAAGTGAAAATCTGGATGTGGCTCCAAAAGCAATGGACTGCACCTGCAGATCGACTCGTGTTCCGTCTCCGTCTCGGCCTTGGAGGGATTGAGCCCGACGGCACGCACCAAGTTCACGATATTCCGACGCGTAAGCGCCTCAGAGCGGCGCATGAGATGCCCAAAGCTGGCTGTGACGCAGTTGATGGCAGTTGCCGCCCGGAGTTAAAGCAGATCCATCTGATCACACGCTTGAACAAAGTCGCTTCGTCGAAGACTATGACAACGGGACCCCACGAAGTCCTTCCCGCCCCTTCTTAAACTTCACACTTCGGCTGTTCACTTATGGACATGCTTTGTCAGTAGGGATAAACCCTTGAATACCAGTACCCCATAATATCCCAACCTATTGCGGCACAGAGCACTGCTACGTGTCCATGACTGTGCTTTTTGTTTGTACAAGGTGACTGCGGTCAAGCTTTGTCAAAGCTATGGTTAAAAATCCACGTTCCAGGTTGTAGAACTTTCTAGATTATACTGCATCGGATGTCAACAGATATGGATTTTGGTGGTTGGTGTCGCTGAGCACGAGCTGAAGCAACCACTCCATGAAACCGAGGCATGTATCAGACACGACCTGTTACTCATGTGTAACCTAAAGGATCATTTTATCTACTCTAGCATAATGAGCATGCTAGTAATGCAATGCCTTTCATGTTGCATCGTCTGCATCACCAAACTTCCAAACATCACCTCCATTGAAAAGTAAAAAACACCAGCAGCCCTAAAGACTCACTTCGTTTGCAAACTTCAGCCTAGCCTATGCTACTGGGTTTCGAAAAAATAGTCTCCAGCCCAGTGCGTGCTTCGTAAAAGCTTTCGTCATCCCTGCGCACGACGAAAGCTTTGGCAACTGCTCAGCTTGGGTACGCCATCCAGGTCTTCCATGTATTCATCAAAGACCTGGCGTGCTTTCGTCATTCTTCTCTCGCACAACCATCAACTCACTGGAAAATGCAAGCCCTCCAAAAAAGTAAGAGAATTGAATGGATGGAACAGAATCTCACAAGCCCTAACCTCCTAGATCTCATCAATCATCCAGCAAAACCCATCCGCGCCCTTGCCGTCATCGGCTTCTTCTGTCAGTGCCCTAGCTCACCAACAGAGTTCTTTGAACTGGTGAAACTCATTTCGCATTAAATCTATGTATGTCCACATCGTTGAGGGGCTATATATTCATACAACCGATACAGTATCGTTCATGTTCAATGCCTCCAGCTGTTGCGAACGGTTCAGGCCGTCAACGATGGCAAAGGATCAAACATCTCAGAAAACAAACCAGGACAAATGGGCACTGAAAAACACAGGAAGACTTCTGCGGTGCCTGTTTGAACTCCAAGACTTGCTCCTCGGTGAGGTTCAGCTCCTCGCTTGGTGGCCAATAAAATAACCTCAACCTTGTATGCTGGGAAAAAAGGATGCTCAAAATATATGTTCCAATTACATTCTAACACCGATTCTACACCTGAACACTTGAGAAACTCTCGGATTGCGAAATCGCCTCCCCTGGTTTTGTTTAGGCAAAGGGATCATTTTGGGTTGGGCCAGTGAGGTCAGGAGTTCCTTTACCCTCAAGGCTCACCCTGGGGGTCAGGTCTCACTTTATTGTTGCCTAAGTGAAACTTGCAAAATCTGGTGCAAAACACACACCCTTGGCTTGAGTCTGTTGAAAGCTTAATTATTGGGCAAGCTCTCAACCAACAAGAAGTGACGCATGAAAGAGACTGGCCAAGCGGCTGTTCCGTTCCCACCTGCTGCAGGCGCAAGCAAGTGTTTGACCGGCTTTACCGGCTACGGCGGGCCTCCCATTCCCGCCCTAAACTCCTTGGAATAATAAGCCAGCTCATCCTCAGACAGTGGAACTGGAGTCCATGACATGGCTTGGTCTGCAATGCAGGGGATCAGCAGAAATGCCACGTCGAACCTTCCCAGCATGTTGGAGACTCGGAGTTGTTCGCAGAGAGGGCTTAGGCTGCTTATAGAAGTCTGGAAGGCAAGTCTCGGTGCGAGTTACGGCTAAACCATGCTAAGCCTGTTTTCAAGCGGCCGCTACTATGCAACCATGTCGTAGCTACTAGCAGTGCGGTGCATTTCAGGGTTGAATCTCTAATCTTGAGCAAGCTGTGGTCACGATCCAGGAAGCTGAGGACTGTCCAAAGGTCAGGCCAACCCACGACCTTCTTGTTGGGGACCCAAGAATCAGCTTTCGTCTCATGCAGGCATCCATCCTGTTGTTGACATGCTGTTCGAATCTTCATCCAGAATTCCTGCAAGTCTGATCCATGAGAGTTCAGGAAAGTGAATGCTCTCAATAATTCCTTTACTTTATTTTACTTTCATTCAGCAAGCTTGGCAAGCTTTGCGGTTTTCTTTGAAATCTATTCGCCTCCTGTTGCGAGAGAGAATCCATGTGCTCTCAATTAGAGCACAGCAGGATTCTGTCAATCTCACCGGCTGACAGACTAATTAGAAGTCTGTTTGTAAGATCTAAAGGTTCAAAGATCTAATTGGGCACGGGTGGCATCGGTCCTGCAAGCAACATCAGTTCGCATCCGCGACACTTACGACCGCCAGGAGGCGTTCAGAGGAAGCGCAAAAAGCACGAGCCAAGGGGCCCGGAGGGGGGGGAACATCCCGTAAAAATAGAAAAACAAAAGCGATGAAAGACTGTACACGGAGGACATGCGACGACCATCATGAGCTCAACAGCAGTGTGGAACACTGAATACTGCATATATCTGCATATGGCAAACAACTACACATGCTTCATTCCAAAGCATCAACTGATTCTTATCGTCACGTCGCTGCAAAATCACCCTGTTGGCATCTGTTGGCTCATTCTCGTCGAACTCAACGACTGGCCGAGTTCGCCACGAAACATCTCTGGTCTCCACCGAACAGGCGGAGTGAGTCGTTTGCGCAGTCGTTGGCGCAGTCAAGTGCCGCAAGTTCGCTCACTGGTCTGCCAAAGCCTTGGCATCGGCCTCGCTCCGTGGCGGGGAGAGGGGCGCTCAGGAACTGCTCAGCTGATCATACCTCTTGATCAAATATCTGTCCATCCGCATCCTGTGTCATGACCACCTCTATCATCAACGAATTTTGCAAAATCAAGCAAGACACAATCTGTCTGAGTCCGTGTTCCCTGAAACGAGTGACGTTTTTCCACATCCAAGGAAGATTGGCGATACTATGTGATACTCAAGAAATGTTTGCATCGAAGCTTTGAAGCACGAAGAAATGCCAAACAGTATGACTCAAAATCATCCCTTTTCCGAGGCTTCACCTCGACGGAACATCTGGCTCGAGAGACTCAAGTTGCATGATCCGCAGGCGGTGCATTACCCCACGTGCCCCACATCCCAAAATCAACCGCTTTGCTCGGGGAGCGGGGAGCGCCTTCTTGGGGTTCAGCATGTCCTCAAGTTGGCAAAACCAAAGTACTAACGGCTAGACCCAAACAAAAGGGCTGCGGCCAAACCGTGTTGGCACACAGGTCGCTCTTAAAACCAATCACGTCCTTGGCTGATTAAACCAATGATGTCTGGGTCCTTTGAGCGTGTGCCAAAACCCCTTGTTGACGAAGAGGACTTGATTCAACAAATTTGCATAAATTTGCCACTTTGGGAGGGGGCCCTATCGCTTGTTCAGGCGCCAGCAACACATTCGACACAGCTGAACATACCCGAAAGCTGATTTGACGTTATCGCAGTTTAAGGGAGCCAACCTAAACTGGTCATGTACCTGTAAGCATTTATTCAGCAGGCGATTATTTCACGCCACTCTTTACTGGTCATGACCTGCTCGACCAACATGTGATCCTTTCGGATCCTTATCTCCCGCTGTCCTCGGTGATCACGAACAAATTTTTGTACTCAAGGTCCTGGAAAGAATGCTTCTTCTACAGGCACTGACTCACTCCGACACCTCAGACTCGCATTTTTAAGGTCCGCTTCAGAGGTCCGCGTTGACACCGCTGTCCTCCCGATCACGGCCACTGCCGTACCACTCGGGCGGATTCGCCAAGCGAGCGGGCCTGAGAGGCCAAGGTCTCTGCAGGGACCCGCTCGGTGTAGAGCGTTTTTTTTGGCAAAAGCCGTGTTCGGGGTCCAGTTCTTTCTGGCCATACCCAGCAGCCCAGCGTCACCAAATCCAAGACACACCAATTTTGGGGTATCTGGAATCTGCGCTGACCACAAATGTGAACAGTCTTGGCACCTTTTTGTGACAACATCGATTCACCCATCCCATGAATGATCATGAATCTCATGTCTTGCTCATGATGTCTCATTCGCAGATCTTCAGGTCTCCCGGGCTTATCTTTGGATTGCCATGGGATCAATCCCATGAGCCTCATGTGCCTGGTCGTGCAAATTTGTGCAATCACGTCTTTGGGATCTGTGAAGACATAAATGCTATCGCAGCACAATTTAAGCATCCAATGTTAAGCAGGCGCAAGTGTCCAAAGCATCCAAGGAAAGCTCGCCTGGCCTCTTAAACACACGCTCGGAGCCTTTCTTCAGATACTCGAAATGGATCTGAGAAGGCTCTTCAGCCAGGGTGAGTGACCGTGAAACATGCGGGAAAATGGATATCAGTTCTTTGAGAAGTGCTGGGGTACGACGGATTCTTTCGAGTGGTGTTTCAAGAGAGCCGTAAAGCTTTCCTCCAAGGCTGCGACATTGGGTGAGTCATACCTCTCCCACCACACGGAGTGAGGCAAGCCACCCTTCATGTCCATATGGACGATGACATGGTCACCTCGCAAACCAAAATCAGCTCATGGAACTAAAGCTTTGCATGGAACTCATGTGGGTTTCTCCCTTGGTTTTCGCACAAATTTGGCCCGGTGCCCTCTGCACTTGATTTCCCTTTGCCAGCCTTTGTGACGAAAAACCCGACCTGGTGACAAATGATCTCCAGGTCCAATTGCCCAGTACTTTCCAGAACCTCCAAGATCTGGCGATGTGTCAAAAACATCACCATGTCACTATTTAAGGGGCAGGTGAGAAAAACTCCGAACTTGCAAGCTCTTAGTCATGAAACATCATAAAACACCGGAGCTCAATCACGGCAATCATTCAAATCCAGGCCGCTGATGGTTCAACGCGGACCGCCACCCAAGTCTTATAGAAATATAGTTTCAGCTTCACAGCCATGGTCGCAGCAAAGCTATTTTAAAATGTGGTCACGGACAAGTTGCGGCGCCTTCATCGTCAGGTCCAAGAATTTCATGGCCATCATTCTGAAGAGCAATGGCGGCCAAGAATGAAGACTCTATATGGCACATGAATGAGCACTGAGCACATAATTTCTCGTGTATATATATATATATTTAGAGCTTATATGTTGTTTAACGTCTGGGAAGGGATGCTGGTCAAAGTAGAAAATGGAGATCCCTGATACGGATGAGATGAGGACTTGTCATTGAACCCCCTCAAAATCCAAGCTCTTCAACGGTTCTTCGAAGAACCCTCGCAAGTCTTGTTTTCCTTCAGCTTTCAAATCTTTGTTTCTCCGACCGATCTCCTGAGTTGCCAGATTTCTCTCTGGATGCACCGCAGCCTCAGGCAACCCTCGACTCGCCGCCCATGAATGGTTTTTTGTCTCCAAACAAAGGGACTCCAAAAGCCAGCATCAGCAAGGAAAAATCTGGAGGACTCCGTCCAATATAAAAACCCTCTGCTGCATAGTACATATGAGGGTTGAGTGGTCCTGACATTGATATTATGCGTTGCTGTGTTGCTGTCGCTCCTGCAGCGACACCTTGGGCATTCACTGATCGCAAGACTAGGCCTGGGAGCTGTGCCAGCCAATTTCGCTCCAGCAAAATCTGGATGGTTTCAGTTCCGCTGTCACCAAGGGTGATCTCCTCCGAACCACGCTGAAAGGGCATGAACACCTGCACTTGTGATATGTTCCAAGCGTGATCAAGCTTGGAATCGACTCGCTCATCCTCCAACCGTTTTGCGAACCCTTTTGCTTTCCGGACCTTGCAAACCTTGCCATCCAACCACTATGTGGGGCGTGGCCGCGCGTGGCCGAGGAGTCTGAGCAAGATCCGGCTCTTAGCTTCGGTCACTTAGCAAGCCTTTCGGGCCCGTGGCCGGGCCAAGAGCCAAGGGGCAAGCGAGGTAGGTCTTAAGCTCTGACAAATCGTTGGCAATATTAGGCAATGCAAAAAATGAACAGAGCGCTGGCGCTACTCTTGCAGAAGACATATATCCTTTCTTCATGTTCAGAGTGCGTGTGTGTGTGTGTGGGTACATTCTGTCTGTCTGTCTGTCGGTCGGTCGGTCGGTCGGTCGGTCGGTCCGTCGGTCCGTCGGTCCGTCGGTCCGCCGGTCCGTCGGTCCGTCGGTCGGTCGGTTTGTTTGTGTGGTTCTTTATTTTTTCTTTGTTTGTTTGTTTGTTGTTCAACTGTGGATATTTTGTCCTGCCAATAGGAGGTGGCAAGGCCATTCTCATCGGTCTCTTTCTTCATCGCCTCAGCTGCAAAATGTCACATGCGCAGCCTCCGTCCGTCAGACTTTGATGACGGATGTGTTTGGGATGGCTTAGCAAAGTCCTCGATATTTTTTCAAGATTTGGTGCAACACATTGTCTGATGTTCGCGCCTGGCAATCTTTGAAGCCGTTCCACGATCCAACCTTGTTCCAAGCAAAGCCACCAAAGCGCCGACTGCGTCTGAATTCTTCAAGCTGAATGCTGCCACACGCTGCCTAAGGTGCTTCCCTTGAAGGCAGCCAAGTCACAATGAAGTAGTTGTGATCTTTGGCCCGCTCCTGGCGCAGATTTTATCTTTTCACTCTGTGAGTGAGATGGAGCCAAGGCCAAGCAGGAAGGTGAAAGAGAAACTGTGAAACTGTGAAACTGAACCC